AAACTCAAATAGTGTACTTCTACAACTCCTATGTTAGAGCCTTTGTGCTAACCATTTTGCTTCTTGATTTGATACTCAGCTCTCGACATATTTATTTTCTCCTCCAGGTTTATTACTATTATCCGTTCTCAGCTTTATCTGATCCTGCAAAGCTTTACAATGATCTTAGATGGAATGTTACACGGCCCCAAGGTTATGAGGCTTTCATGCGTGTGAGATGCAGCCAGGTAGTGCTTCTGTTGGCACACATTGTTGAGTAGTTTCATCAATGCCCCATTGATGATTGACGTTAATTCTCCTATTGTGTGTTTGTTATGATCCTTATAGGGTATCCAAGTTCAAGAGTACTCTGGAAACTTTTGCAAGCGCATTCCAACTGACATTGACCTTCCAGGGGTTTGTATACTTTTCTCCCTTTTCTTTACTTTTTTTGATTTTTTGAACCACATACTTTTCCTTTTTGTTAATAATGTCTAATTCTGAATTTCCTGTTAAATGATCTGATTAGTCTTTTATAAGCTTCCCCACAAGTTATGTGGACAGTGTTATCACTTAAACATGGTTGAAAGTTGAAACATCTGAATTATAACTGAGGAATGTTGGTTGTTTTGTGAAACTCCACTGCAAACTCTATAATTTCTTATCCATTGGAATTGATATATCAGATATGCTAGGTCAGGCATCTTATGGATAAGATGGCCTTATTCTGGTAAATATCAAGAAATTATTATACCTTACAGATAGATGTAGATTACATTCTTCTAGAGACTGAAGATTACACCATTGAATCTTTGGTCATTTGGAAAAAAATTGGTTGTAGTCTATCTCATATTACTGAATGAATAGAGGAGATTTATGGTGACTTAGAGATGCATGATTTAGGGTGATTTGTTTAATTGGAAAAAAAACTACTCCATATTCAGTTTTATTTCCACAAAAATAATTGACATGTTCAGTTTTATTAGCTAGAGGCTTTGAGGACTGTTTTAAATTGACTGATCCTTTCTACTGAACAGATTGATTGTGACAAATCCATATTGGTAACCTTAAAGCATGATGATAAAATGCAAGATGGATCAGAATGTGCTTTTCAGGTACTGACTGGGCAGGAGTCAATTATTTATTTATTTCTGTTTAGGTCACATGTTTCTTATATGTTATACTTACTGTTTAGGAGATTAGAATTATTAGTTTTTAAATTGTGTTCTGCCTTTCATTTTCCAGTGTGCACTTCTTTACACCACTGTGTATGGCCAAAGAAGAATTCGAGTTACAAACTTATCTTTGCCATGCACAAACATGCTCAGTAATTTGTTTCGTGCAGCTGACTTGGACACTCAATTTGCATGTTTCCTAAAGCAAGGTATTTTGGTTCTTCATTGTACATCTTGCTCCTTTCTCTCCTATTTTACCCTCTGGTGCCTCTTTTGTGCACACTGTACACCTTTTTTTTGAATATTATTCTTCTTGCTCAGATCACATTCCTCCAAACTGTGATGGCTTTCTCCCTTTTTCCTAGTTCACTTTTCCATTCCTTCGATTGCTGGTCTGGTTATTTTTATACTTGATCCACACTTATACTTACCATAATTCTTTTTGGATTCCATTATCTATAGCTGCAAGTGAAATTCCTACAAGCCCACTCATGCAAGTCAGGGAACAAGTGACAAATCTCTGCATCAACATACTGCTTTCATACCGTAAATTTTGTGCTACGGTATCATCATCCGGACAGCTTATTCTTCCTGAAGCTCTTAAGCTTCTTCCTCTGTACACTCTTGGTATGTGCATTCTTCTTGCTACTTTTCTCTGGGCTAATTAATATAATGCATTGGATCTTACTATTTTCGTTATTCACTTGTATTGTTCATGCTGTAAATATTATGATTTTATTGTAAGAATTTATTATGTACTTCTTGATGACTTGAGGTCAGATTAATCTGTACCTCAACACAACCTTAATTATTATTTTCATTTAATCTGTACCTCAACACAACCATAATTATTATTTTCATTTAATCCTCCTTTTTGAACCTCACATTTTCCAGTTCAGCAGATAGTAAGCCTTATGTATGTACCCAGATAGGTCATAGGTTTCTAGTATTTCTCTGTTTGAATGCCGTTTGCTAGAAGTTGTTGAGTTAATTACCCTTCAATATTCATGCCCTTCTACATCTCCACAAAAAAGATTAATTCTGGAAAGAGGAAACATTATTTGATTTTCTTTAAATGTGTGCCTCTTAGTAAGTGTCCCATGATTATGGGACACAGGGAGTATGTTGGACAATATCTATTACATTCTCAAGAGAAGACAATATTTTAAATAATAACCTTTTCCTTTTGCTTTTAGGATTAATCAAAAGTCCTGGCTTGAGAAATGATGGAAGAGTCGATGATCGTTCTTTCTGGATCAATTATGTTTCCTCCCTTCCTACTCCTTCAGCAATTCCACTGGTTTACCCGAGGATGATTGCAATCCATGACCTAATTTCAAAAGTATGGAATTTTCTTAACAGTTCAAAATTAATAAATAATGTGTTGAGATGCAGGGGGCTGATCATTCATACTTTCTGATTGTTGAACAGCAGGAGGATGGATCTCTTATTCCACCTATAATCCCACTTTCAAGTGAACACGTGAGTGATGAGGGAATATATCTTCTTGAGAATGGTGAGGATGCCCTTGTATATATTGGGGGCTTAGCAAGTTCAAGTACCGTGCAGCAACTTTTTGGGTTTTCATCTATTGATGAAGTTCATAGTCAGGTATTTTGTTTTAATTTCATTTTCAGGTGCATGGTAAAAACTTCAAATCATTATTTAACAATTCCAATATTTAGGGAAAACTTGTATTAAGCTATGAAACCCCGATTGTTGAGCACCTGAACTATTATTTTTGGACAATTTCAGGATTTCTATCTGCCAAGAGTTATGCTAATTTTTTAAAAGATGAAGTAACTATAAAATTGTAAACTTTAATGATCCATCATATCTTAAATTAAACATGTTCATGTTTTGATTCATGTGGAAGTTTATTCTCCATGTATAGGTTTCTTTTTTGGTGCCTAGGCTCTCTTTCCTCCTATTATTATTATTTTTTTAATGGCTGATGTTTGGATTTGAGATTTTTGTATATATGAAGCATAATAATATTCATTTGAAGTCTTTCATTTGATGAATTAACTACTAATCATTTGGATGAGTAGTTTTGCACTCAGGCTTTGGGAACTATGGGGTTGAGGTTCTGTGTGATGTACTTTCTTTTGTCTGATCTTTTCTACTGTTTGATACACTAATATTTTAAATATTTCTCCGCATGCTCAGTTGGTACTGCAGCAGTATGACAACCCATTGTCAAAGAAGTTCAATGATGTGGTAAATGAGATTCGGCGCCAGAGATGTTCCTACCTCCGGTAAGACTACATTGTTTTTTCTTGCCTTGGATTTTTTATATTTTCAAAAATAGAAGTATAAGCCTTTTTTGTGATTGAAAACCATAATGGATTTCTTTGTCTAATGCATTTTCAATATTTTCTAATTTATGCAGCTTGAAATTATGCAAGAAAGGGGATCCATCAGGTGAGTGCATTAGAAGAACCATCTCAATGCAAATTAGGAATACTGTAGTTCTTGACAAGTAACTTGTGTGGACATATAAACGAAACAGCTTCTGTTCATTTTTCTTTCTTTTTTCCAACATTTTCCTTTCTCATAATTCATAGTATACATGACTCTTTATCCTGAATCACTCAAAATTTAATATCACTCATTTGTGATTCGATAAAGAGCCTATGAGAGTGAACAGTTGCCTTGGCAAATATTGCTTCTAAACTTATTTAAACATTTCTTGATCCGTTTCTTCCAACTGTTTCCCCCTTCAGGATTGCTGTTCTTCTCATACATGGTTGAAGACAAGACTGCAAGTGGTCCATCCTATGTCGAGTTTCTTGTACATATTCATCGCCAAATCCAAATGAAAATGTCATGACAATCTCAATTTTCTCCAGTCCACAGCTCACACAGTATTGCTTTTCAGTTTGATCGTTCATGGTGAACAAAACTGTAGCTATAAACCAGAAGAAAGGCAAGAAACTGTGTAGCTTCTCCTACTCCCGAGTGTCTTGTACATATTCAGCGGCAAATCTGAATGGAAAATTTTATGATTGTGTAATGCTTCTTGGCTTGGGTTTGTTTCCCTCTGATGGCAAAATTGCAGATTAGAACCTGAGAAATACAATATCTGCTACTATTTATAATTTTGGAAAGCAATATGGGAAAGTTTTGCTGCAATAGGCTTTTAGACACTCCTCCTTTTTATTTGTTCTTCTTTCTTTTTTTTAATGTGGAAAGACAGGTAGTGTTCTTGATATTACAGGGTCAGTTAAACTGATAAAATACTTTTTTTGTACTTGAGATGAGTTATATAATTAAATAAATTTTCCTTTCTTAAATGTAAAATGCTTCTTGCTACGTGCACGATCTTATTTTATGGTTACTCTTAGTGATTTAATGTACAAGTAATTATTATTGAATTAAGCATTAATATGCATCCACTTTAATGACGTATAGCTGTGAGATTTTTTGTTTCTGTTTTGGTAAATGGATAACGGGAATACGTAATACGAAGTAGATTTTTTTTTTTAAAAAATTAAATTATATAATTAAAGATAATTATTTTTTACTTTTTAAT